TCTGATGCATAACAAGTGATTGCAAAAACCATGGCCTGTATCAGGTGCACCTTAGTCTGCCACTAGCATCTGTATAATTATGATGGGAATGGGAATGAGGATGTAAATTGCACTGAGAAACAGATTATTAATACAAATCAACAAACGTGGAGGGGAAAAAGGTAAATCTGGACCAAAGGAATTTGAGAATGCCACCAATACCGTAGAACATGCTGTGCCCAAATTGTCAAATGCTACATTAATTTGCTGTATAAACTGTCATCGAAACCACAACTATTTTAGTTGTTACTGTGCTTTTGATGACAGTTTATGCAACGTCAGTGAACTCTGAAAGCACATGGTAGATGAAAATAGTCTTAGAAGATTATATCCTATATGATTCCATTTCCATGATATTATAAAAAACACACAACCATAGGGACAAAAATTGAACCATGATGGCCAGAGTGTAGATGTAAAGGAATAACATCAGGGCTAACAATTTTTTTTTTTATTATTCCAGGCCATGGTCTTTACAATTACTTTGTATGCATGTGACAGCTGGACAATGACTAAGGATAACAGAAGAAGGATCTATGCCTTTGAGTTGTTGTGCTGGCGAAGAGCATTGAACATATTGTGGAGTGCCAGGAGAACAAACAGGTCTGTCCTGGAGAGGATGAAACCACGCTGTTCCCTAGAGGGGAGGATTTTGAGACTCTGTCTCACATACTTTGGGCATGTGGCCAGGAGGGACCAATCATTGGAGAGGGACATCATGCATGGAAGGGTGGAGGGACAGTGCAGGAGAGGAAGATCCAGGATGAGATGGATTGACTCAGTGACTAGAGAAATGGGATTAAGGGTGTCAGAGACGATGAGATTGACTCACGATTGGGCAAGTCAGAGGTAAGGCACATAGGGTCACTGTGAGTCACAGGTGACTAGATGGCATATAACAACAACAATAATATCCCGATAGTGGTTACCAAAAGTTCTATCTGTGTGCAAATTATTGTGAACTATCTCTAATAACGAGTTCATTCACTGGAAACAACCCAAATGCCCATCAACAAGTGGATAGAGAAGCTCTGGTATATTCACACAATGGAATACTTGCTGCACTGAAAAACAAGGAACTCATGAAATATTATAAAAAGTGAGTGACCCTGGAGGACATTATGCTGAGTGAAATATCTCAGTCACAAAGGGACAAACACTGCATAATGCCACTGTTGTAGAATGGGACTGACATCAGGGTTGGGGAGACTGAGAAAGATGGGATAAATTATGTACACTGCATTGAAACAGATGAGGGTGAGAACTGTTTGAAAGAAATATACGATTAAGTATTATTTTCATGACAAGTGTCCAGAATGAGAGCTTCATGGGGGACTGGACTTGAGGGGGGAAATGCATAATAATGAAAGTTTGGGTTTTGCTTTCTTTTTGTTTTGTTTTTTACTTTTTAAAGATCAAAACCAACTGGGGGGAGTGGTGGGCAGGGAGGAAAATGTGCAACAATGAATGAATGGAAATCCAAAGTCTCTACAAATTTTCATTAAAATTTCAATTAAAAAAAGTTCATTCACTCTATAATAAGTTTTTTTTTTTTAAAAAAATCTTTTTTTGGTAAGCTCTAAGCCTAGTGGCAAGATGTTGCACTGCAATTGCAGAGGTATGCAGTTCAAATCCACCAGATGCTCCGCTGGAGAAGGAGGGGCAATCTCCTCCTGTACCAGTCAGATCTGATTTGATGGTGTACACACACACACACACACACACACACACACACACACACACAAATAATAAAATAAAATTTAAAAAATTAAAATGTTTTTAAATTTTATTTTTAAAGGTTGATGATTTGACTGCACTGGGTGCTCTGGGAGAAAGATGTGTGTTCTCCTCCATAGAGCTCTCCGGGCATGGAAACCTGATAGAGGTTTTTGGGGTTTATTTACTTTTCTGATCGAGGTTTTAATTGGGTAAACATGTGCGACTGCAAATAATAGGGGGCAAATAGGGCTAAAGAAACAGGACACTGGAAAGTAGAAAGCATACAGATAAACAAAGTGACAAAATCTGGGGAAGAAAGGAGGTGTGGAAAAGGTTATGCTTTAGTTCATCTTTAAAAAACGATGTAGATAAATAATGAACACTGCACTGAAACAGATGAAGCAAGAACTATTTAAAAGGAATCTATGACTTGGCTTCATTTGTATGACAACAGTCCAGAATAAGAGGTGCATGGCGAAGTGGACTGGAGAAAGGGAGGAAATTAAGCAACAGTGATTGAATCTTTTTTTCCCCCCTAAAGTGAACTTGGTGGGGTAGGGAGGAAAATGGGCCACACTGAATAAATGAAAATCCATTTTTTTGGGGTAAACTTTCATTAACATCACAATTTAAAAAAATAATGGGGAAAAACTGCTTAGTCTGAACGATCAGTCCACAGATGGCTATAATGTTGTTTTTCCGACTTGGCTATATTTAAAACTCATCCAACCCAAAAATTTAAGTCTGAAAAAATGTTAGTTGAATACATGCTTCCAAATCTATAAAATGCTCACATTTCACCCCGCCACAGGACGCAGCACCAAGAGCGAACAATCCCAAGACCTGAGTCCTTCGTAAGCCACTGGGTGAATTGAGGAAAGCTTTGGGATGACTTTGAATATTATACTCTTGTTTGATTCCTTTTATCTCCCTTTCACAGGCATCCAGGGAAATTAAATGAGGGCACAGGATCCGAGTGCATTATAATCTACACAGTGATGGATGCATGTGCAAATGCCAGGAACTGTTTGTTGTGCTTAAGCAACCACAGATTTCCTCAAGTTCATTGCTTTGACTTTCCTCCTTCCACTGTTGACTTTCCTCACCCGTGAACCCCGCAGGGAGAGTGTGGATCACGCCAGGTGGTAAGGCGTGAACAGTGAATCGGAAGGGAAGCCAAGTCACATTCTCTCTTCAACAAGACAGAGCTCAGATAGCTGTTCCATGTTTTGTCTTTACACATTTCCACACAATGTGAGCTTCAGATGCACGTGCAGGAGAAACCCAATCATAAAAGCCAAGGACTTCCTTTGGAGAGAAGACCCCACAGCCCCGAGGAGAAATGCAATTGCCCCCAGGAGCACCCCACTAACTCTGCAAGTTGTCTGACCGCTCCTCATGCCAGTAGATCAGGGCGAGGGGCCCACTCACCGACATCAACCAAGGAGTACTGGTAAGGATCTGAGAGGAAGTGCGGCAGGGTGAGGAAGAAGGCGCCTGTGGCCAGGAGGAGGCCCCCGATACCAATCAGTCGGGGCCGGTGCACTCGGCTGCCGAAGTAGCTGACGAAGATGATGAGGATGGCGTTGCTGATCTGTGGAGAGAGTAGAGGGACGGAGTGAGCACAGAGGTCGCATCTTCACCTGCCAGCACAGAAGCCCTGCTGTCTGCGAAAAGCACATTCAACTTTTGAGAAACATTGAGGTTTTCACCTTGTGCGTATGGGTTTTTTGGATAGTAATCCACTTGTCTATAGAAATCTTTGTTCTGCTTTCCTTCTCACTATCATCTTTCTGAGTCACTGTATCGAAAGGAATTGGAAGACACAGAAGACTTTCACGAAACAACCTATGAGCAAGAGCCTATGGTGATGAAAGAAGAAGTTCAGGCTGCTTTGAAGGAAATGGCAAAAAATAAGCCTCCAGGAATAGATGGTATACCAATTGACATATTTCAGGTAACAGATGCTGCCCTGGACGTGCTCACCAAGTTGTGCCAAGAAATCTGGAAAACAACCACTTGGCCAACTGACTGGAAGAGATTGATATTTGTTCCCGTCCCAAAGAAAGGTGACCCAATGGAGTGCGGAAACTATAGGACAATCTCACTGATTTCACATGCAAGCAAGATTTTACTGAAAATCATCCAGAAACGACTGGAACAGCACATCAGCAGAGAACTACCAGAAGTCCAGGCTGGGTTTAGAAGGGGTCGTGGTACTAGGGATATTGTAGCTGATGTTAGATGGATTTTAGCTGAAAGTAGAGAATACCAGAGGAATGTCTATCTGTGTTTCATTGACTATGCAAAGGCATTTGACTGTGTGGATCATAACAAACTGTGACTGACTCTGAGAAGAATGGGAATCCCAGAACAATTGATCGTTCTAATGCGAAACCTATACTTGGACCAGGAGGCAGTCGTTAGAACAGAGCAAGGGAACACTGCATGGTTCAAAATTGGGAAGGGCGTACACCAGGGATGTGTCCTATCTCCATACCTTTTCAACCTATATGTAGAACAGATTATCTGGGAGGGTGGGCTCTATTAGGAGAAATGTGGGGTCAAGATTGGGGGACAATTTATCAACAGTCTGTGTTATGCAGATGACACAACCCTGCTTGCTGAAACTGAAGAGGACCTGACGCACCTGCTGCAGAGGGTCAAGGACTGCAGCCTACAATTTGGATTGAGGCTCAATGTCAAGAAGACAAAAATTCTCACCACTGGACCAATTGGGAGCATCAGGGTGGATGGTGAAGAGATTGAGATTGTTCACAGCTTTAGTTTGCTTGGCTCCACAGTCAACACTCTTGGCCCCAGCAGCCAGGAAATTAAAAGGCGCATTGCCATGGAAAAGTCTGCTGTTAGGGACCTCTCCAGAGTACTGAAGAGCAATGGTGTCTCTCTGGAGACTAAGGTGCATTTGATACAGGCCATGGTCTTTGCAATCACTTGTTATGCATCAGAAAGTTAGACAATGACCAAGGAGGATAGAAAGATAATTGATGCCTTTGAGCTGTGGTGCTGGAGAAGAGTATTGAGAATACCATGGACTGCTAGGAAAACAAACAGATTTGTCCTGGAAAGGGTTAAACCGGGTGGCTCCTTGGAGGCAAGGATTCTGAGGCTCCGTCTAACATACTTTGGACATGTTGTGAGGAGAGACCGGTCCTTGGAGAAGGACATCATGCTTGGGAGGGTGGAGGGACAGCGCAGGAGAAGAAGGCCCTCTATGAGGTGGATTGATTCAGTGACTGGGATAATTGGGATGGGAGTGTCAGAGTCAGTCCGATTGGCACAGGACAGAGCGGAGTTTAGGGCTGTTGTGCATAGGGTCTCTATGAGTCGCAAGCGACTTGACGGCACATAACAACAACAACATCATCATCTTTCTGCCCATCCTTCTCCTGCACTATCATCATAGTTTTTCTTTTTTCCCCACTCATTCATTGTTGCACTTTTCTCCTCTCCCAACCCTCCCCCCCCCCAGTACACTCCCCTCTTAGAAAAGCAAAAGAAAAATTCTTTGATTGTTTTACAATCCCTTGCCCCAGGTCCACTCTACTATGCAGCCTTTACTCTGGACTCCTGTCATGACAAGAATACCTAATCACATATCCCTTTTAAACCGTTTTCTCCCTCATCTGTTTCAATGCAGAATACATTATTGAACCCATCTTTCTCAGTCTCCTGCCAACCCTGAGGTCAGTCCTGTTTTACACCCTGAGGTCAGTCCTGTTTTACAACAGTGGCACCATGCAGTATTTGTCCTTTTGTGACTGAGATATTTTACTCTGCATAATGTCTTCCAGGGTCACCCGTTTTGTATAATATTGCATGAGTTCCCTATTTTTCAATGCAGCGTAGTATTCCATTGTGTGAAGAACAGCTTCTCTATCCATTCGCTCATTGATGGGCACTTAGGTTGTTTCCAGCTCCTTGCTATTGTGAACAAAGCCATGATAAACATGGGTGTACATTATTAATACACTATAAGGGAGATCTGCTGGCTTGGTCGTAAGGAATTGTGCTGCCACTACAAAGACATGCAGTTTCAATTCCCCAGCTGCTCCATGAAGGAAAAAATGGGCAATCTCCTCTTGTGCAACACACTGCCTCAGAAAATCTGCTGGAGGGTCAGCTGTGGGTTGGTTCTGACTTGACAGTACACAACAACAATCCATTTTTAATGTATATGATGTCAGGCATAGATACTGTTTCATTTTCTGCATGCAGAAATTCTGTTTTAGGTCTAATTGGGTAGTAGGTTAAGCACGGGGCTGTGACCTAAATGCTCAATGGTTTGAACCCACCAGCAGAGGCAGTCTGTTCCTGCTTTAGCCTCAGAAAACTGATAGAGGGTTGCTGTGTTTTACAATGGCAGTAAATTTGGTTTGTTATTGTTGTTATGTGCCATCGAGTTGCCTGTGACTCAAAGTGACCCTATGTACAACAGCCCTAAACCCTGCTCTATCCTGTGCCAATCTTATTGTATCTGACTACCTCCATTACCCCAATCACTGACTCAATCCTCCTCATAGAAGGTCTTGCTCCCCTGTGCAGTCCCCCTCTCCAAGGACTGGTCCTGCCTTGCAACATATCCAAAGTATGTCAGATGAAGCTTCAGAATATTTGCCTCTGAGGAGCATCCTGGTTTAACCCTCTTCAGGATGAACCTGTTCATTTTCTTAGCAGTCCATGGTACATTCAATACTCTTCTCCAGCACC